AAGATGAATACCTTAACAACCAGGAAGTGACTGACTGGAATAGTTTTATAGGTTTGTTAATTTTTTTCCTTCCTTGGTTCTTTTTCTTCTTCCAACACTCCCTGTGACCTTTAGCATCGTGGCTGCTATCACCTGAGCCAGGTGTGGATATCAACTGAACCTCCATTAGGGAACAGCTCATGTTTTACATTATGCAGGAAGGGACACCTGGATTACAGTAACCCTCAGTTTCACTATACCTGAACTCTGCCGTGTGATTGGCTATTAAACTGTTAAACTGTTCTATAACTACTTATAAGGTGGCTTGTGAGTATAATAAAAGTTAGGAATGATTTTAAGAGGAAAGCTGAGGAGGAAGTTACCGTAATCTAATCGACATCCCAAAAACAAAATATCCAGCCAGAAACAGGAGATAAAGTGCTATTCATGATCCCACAGGGAGAAACTCTGGAATCATTTTAAAACGGTCATCCTGTCATCTTGGACAGGATGAAATTTAACTTTTACAGAAATAAAAAGTCACTCTGACTGAGTGATGGTTTACTGCAGTTAGTACTGGGAGCACTGGGAGAAGGCAGAGGAGCTGCTTATATTATACTGTGACAACATGTAAATGTGAAAAACGTATTTTAAATAAAGTGACATCCTGTAGCTTTAAGGGAGTTCAGACAAAAATGTAACTTAATTTCACAGAGCCGTCAGAAAGGAAGGATGCGCAGAGAGAGCTGGGTGTCATCCGCAGAGCTGTGAACACGAACGGCAGATTCTCTGAAAGTAAGACCAACAGGGAGAAGACAGGTGGAGAAAAGGACCAAGACCAGAACCCTGAGGAACACCGGAGGTCTGAGAAAGACAAGACCAGAACCCTGAGGAACACCGGAGGTCACTGAAAGACAAGACCAGAACCCTGAGGAACACCGGAGGTCACTGAGAAAGACAAGACCAGAACCCTGAGGAACACCGGAGGTCACTGAGAAAGACAAGACCAGAACCCTGAGGAACACCGGAGGTCACTGAGAAAGACAAGACCAGAACCCTGAGGAACACCGGAGGTCACTGAGAAAGACAAGACCAGAACCCTGAGGAACACCGGAGGTCACTGAGAAAGACAAGACCAGAACCCTGAGGAACACCGGAGGTCACTGAGAAAGACAAGACCAGAACCCTGAGGAACACCGGAGGTCACTGAGAAAGACAAGACCAGAACCCTGAGGAACACCGGAGGTCACCGAGGAAGACAAGACCAGAACCCTGAGGAACACCGGAGGTCACTGAGAAAGACAAGACCAGAACCCTGAGGAACACCGGAGGTCACTGAGGAAGACTTCGCCAAATCAACCACGGAAACTGATTATTTGCTGAGATGAATTTTTGAACAAACCGAAACTCAAAACAAAGATTAAACGCCTAGCATAGGATTGTATCTATGGTAACAATAAAATGCTAAAAAAATGTTTATTTTAATATATTTAAATCTTAAATTTGATCTCCACTGAAAACCATCAAACCAAATTCAACAATATTCTCAAGTAAAAAAAAAAAAAATCTGAATATTTTAGAGCTAAGGTGTGAACAAACTTTTACCCTGATGGTTAGGAAGCTGAATGCAGTGGCCCGGTTTGCTTGTGCCTTGGGCCGGTTTGCTTATGCCTTGGGCCGGCTTGGGTTGCATGTTTCTGAATCATCAAAAATAATCACTTTTCAAAGACGTTTCCATCTTCAAAATAAAAATACTGGCACTTCAGAGCCACTTGCTCTGAAAGCAAAGCAGAACATAAAATGAATCTGAGAGGCTGTAGAAGTGGCACAGAGCCGTTTCGGTCCAGATGAACAGCGACAGCAACACACAGCTCCCTATTCATACAGTCCCACTGCTCCTTTCTGAGCCAACAACAAGCAGCTCATTGTTGGAAAACAGCCGACCGTCTTCACAGAAACACCAGCACTAAGCGACGGTCCAAGGTCCAAATCTGTTCCTTTCACGACAATGCATGTGGCGACAGTGGGGGGAAAAACTCTAATCTCATCTCTGCTAGTTTTACTGTGAAATTTAATTTCTTTAAGCTTCTTAAGCTCAGACAGATTAGATGAGGAACATCTGTGAACATCAGTTTTCAAGTCATATCACATATTCTCAGTTGGTCAGAGTGACCTGGACTTTGACTAGGCCATTCTTTTTTTTTTAAATCATTTGTCGCCGGGACTGGGAGTCGAACCCGCAACGTCCGCGTCAAGGACTGAGGCCTCCAAACGTGGGGCATGCTAACCCCCTGCGCCACCGCAGCACGCCCGACTCGGCCTTTCTAGCACATGATGTGGTTGCCCTGAGGGAAGGTGAACTTTGACCCCAGTCTCAGATCTTCTGCTGGTTTTCTTCTTAGATTTAGCTCCGTCCCTCTTCCCATCAACACTGCCCTACTTCCCCACAGCATGATGCTGCCTCCACTGTGTTTCATAATACTGCAATGAAAGATGTCAAGATTCAAACCTGAGACTTTTAATTCCTGCAAGGCAACAGTGCAACCATCAGCTCCACTTTTCTTCCACTCCTCACTGCTTCTAAAAATATCAAATAAAAACTAAATCACAGACTGTGGGGAAGTTGGAGGATCATTAATATCTTTATCAAACATTGGCTGATTGATCATTATAAAGAATAAAACCAAATCAAATCTTTCCTATCTTGAAGTTTTATGACTGCAGTGTTCATTTAGTTACAGATTGCTGAGAAATAAACTTCCAAACATTACGGATGATTTCTGAAAATGGGATAAAGACAAAAAACTCCAAACATAAAAAAGCATTTTCATTATAAAATAGGATCCAATTAAAGCAGCTTGTTAAATGCAGAGCAGCGTACGGCTGCAGACGATGTCTGAAGGAAAGCCGGATCATCGTTATGAGGCGCAGTGACCCGAGGCAACGACTGGAGCAGAACCCAGAGCTTCGATCCAGGAAGTTCAGAAACATGATTCATTTTATCTACATGGAGGCAATGAAAATAAATCCAACAACAACTGGATTTCCATCAACATGTGCAGCGTCAGCGTTAGATGTTTTGGATTCCTGGACATTCTGGAGCTGAAGGAAATGTTGTTATTTTGGACAAAACCAAAATAACGACTGAACAAAATGACTGCTTAAGTTTTAGATCCAGAAATTAGAGATTCACATCAACAGCAGGGGCGTCACTAGGTTTATGAACATGGGGGGCTTAGCCCCAGAATATGAACAGGATGTTAGCAAAAGTAAAAAATTCTCAAAAAGCAACAAAAACAAACAAGTTACTTTTCCAGTTTTAAAATATTGTTTAGGGAAATACAAAGATCTTACTTTGTATTTAGTTATTTGCTATTATAAAATGGCTTCCTAGCAAACAGCTTCCATTGGCTATCTTTTTCTACGGCTGCACATTTAAAACAATTTGATACCTTTTGAAGAACATTGAAACTTTGGCATGATAAAAGTTTTAGGCTTCCATCTTCCAAGCAATTCCAGCCATATTTGATATCAATGCACCAGAACATTATAACATAAAGTTAAAGGAACCTGGCAGATTTATTATGAATTTTGAGTAAAAAATGATAGTTCATTTAAACTCCAGCCACATTATTTGAATTTTGTCATCATAAAGTATTCCCAGAGATAAAAACATGAACGCAGGTGTATTACATGCTAATGGTGCAAAACAGCAGCTATGCTGATGAAAGCTCACATCGGATGACTCAAGGTGCGACTGGGTCACCTGGGGGTGACCCAGAGTCGACCTCATTTCCTGAACCAGTTTATAACCTGAGACTGGAGCTGACTTTATGAAACCGCCACCACTATCATATGAGCTGAAGTGTTACCTAGTGTGGACATTGCCCCCACCGAGCACAGAGAAAAGTTCAAGTCTGTCTGAGAGCGCGGCTGAGTCTCCCCAGCAGCGTGTTTACACAAGTAGCAGTTCCAAGATAAGACCAAATTATGTGAGTTCTTCCTGCCTCAGACAGACAGGCCCAAACAGAGCAAACAGCCGGAACATGGAGCGGGTTCTGAAACATCTGACTAAATATGCAGCTGCATGTTCGCAGTTTGCAAAGATCCGTTATGATATGGAGCACCGTTGGTGACAAAAACAGTCAAAAATGACCCAATCATTTGGGTTATGTAGCCTGTCAGAAGAGAAAAATGAGTTCATATTTAAACAAATAACCTTAATAACTGTCAGCTTCAAACATTTTATTTGCAAGCTAAATATTTAGCTAAATAATGAACTAGCTCTGAGCTCATATTTAGTTCACCAACTATTTAGCTCCAAGTGAAGTATTTAGCTTCCTCTGAGCTGCATATTAAGCTAATATGCAAATTCACTTGCGATATGCTTTAGCAGACTGTCAAAATAAAAGCTGGTCCTTAAGAACTTCCATATAAATTCCAACTAGCAGATAGTCACTGTTGAACATCTGCATTGCTGTAAGAAGCTCATTCTTTAACTGTTTTGAGTTTGTTGTGGAAATGTTTTTCCTCTTCTGACAGGCTAAAATAACCCAAAGTGTTGCAGCTCATTTTGACTGTGCAGCTCTCCATATATCACAGCTTTGAAATGATGCAAACTGTTGGAGGAGTTTGATAACTGAGGCTGGAGCACACAGCAGAGTGGGAACAGTTCCCTCAGTGTTCCTCCAGCAGATCAGTTCATCTCCTTTATAAGGGAGAAAATTGTTGCCCTGCAGCCAGCGGTGCAGCCAGCGGTGCAGCCAGCGGTGCAGCCAGCGGTGCAGCCAGCGGTGCAGCCAGCAGGCTGGGACTCGCCTCTGACTCGCCTCTGACAGCAGTGATGATGGCTAAACAAGGCCTGCAGCTGTTTCCAAGCTTTCCCAATCACACAACACGTGAGCGCCGACCCAACGTTACAGCCAAACAACGGGATAAAACTGATTATTAGGTGGATTTCAGAAATGCACTTGGTTTAAAACACATGAAGCCAGAGCAGAGGCAGAAGAACACGAACCCACCTGTGGCCCGTCGAGGGCCCAGGTCCAGACTGCGCTGCTTCCTGCGAAAGGCGACCCGGTTGAAGCTCTCCATTTTCCCCTCATCCATCATTCCGACTGACCGATTTCACTGGAGGGTCGAACAAACACCGGAGATAAAAGTAAGTTTTCAGAAACGCGCTTCCTTCTTCCCAGCAAATCCAACTCCGAGCAGCGGCGGCTCACTGGTCCGCGGTCCGTCCGCGGTCCGTCCGGGTCCAACCGGTGCCAGCCTGAGGAGCTCGGTTCCTTCCAGCGGGCCGGCTCGGTCCTGGTCTCCCTCCAAAGTCACCTTGATGGGCGTGTCGCTCCGAGCCCGCCCCGCCCCGCCCCCACTGGTTTCTGTTTGGGAATTTTTCCAACAGAAATAATTGAAGTAATAATTACTGAGTCTGCAGCTTTCTGCTGAAACACAACAACTTCATCAAAGCTTCAGCTTTTATTCTGCAGTTTGAACTAAATCTAAGGTTAGAGTTGTTTTTATATTGGAAGTTTAAAGCAGGTTTATAAACCAGTGGAGGTATTAGATGATCAGTTTTAATTTAAATCTAATTGCTGGATCTGTAATTAATAGAATTTCAGTCAACATTCTGAGTTCAAAAAAATTACTGAATAAATAGAAGTTTTGTGAGCTCAGCAATAAAGAGCTGTACCGTTTTCCTTTACTTGAGTAATTTATTTATTTATTTGTGGAGGAAATATTAGAGTCAAATATTAGTGCTTGGACCACATCAGCTCATTCTCTACAGGTGAAAATAACCAGGAAGGCAGAACCAAAGGAGAAATATTTATTTGCTTGTGTATCCAGTTTAACACTGTTTCAAATGGTGGAGAAACTGTAAAACCCACAATGTCCCAGCAAACTGCAAGCATTCCTGTTCCTGTTGTTTCCAGGAACCCGGTTAGTCTCTCTCTCTTAACGAGTCAGCACAGATCCAGCTGCTGCCTCTTCATCACTCTGGAGTTGCAAAAGTATCAATCTGTGGTGAACAAGTGAACAATGTCCAGTCAATGGTTTCCTCCAACACACCAACTCTGGCTGTGGAGGATCAGGCTGGAAATATTTAACTTAGGACATAATAATTATGAGAATGTTGGGAAGGTGCAGAAAAATGAAACTTTCCTTGCAGTTGCCACATTTTCTGCGTCTCAAAAGGAGACAAAGCTTTAGTTTTGTAACAGAAAATTAATTTCTTTCTTATCTGGAACTCTCTGTTGCTTTAACCTTCCCACACAGTTTAATGACAGAAAGGTTTCCCCCAGATCAGCCTGTGATTGCTGCAGCCTGTGATTGCTGCAGCTGTGATGCTGCTGCTGCTGCTGCTGTATTGCAATGCATAGTGCAGAATTGCTTGTGCTGTACTGCATCCTGTCTGGGGAAGCAAAGGGAGACGGCAACACGAGGGGCAGCTTTTAAACTTACTGTCAAAAAAACGCAATTATTAGATTTATTTAGCCTGTCAGAAGAGAAAAACATGGCAGTTCACTGAACAGTCATATTCTCACCATGTTATTCATTCATTTATAAATGTTAATATTATTTGGCAAGCTAATTATTTGGTTGATATAATTAGCTCCAAGCTAAATATTAAGTAAATTCTTTAGCTTGGATCTAAATATGTAGTGATCAAGGTGAATATTTAAATTAAAACTAAACTAAATATTTAGCTTTAAAAACTCAGTAAGTAAGGTACCCATTTAATGTAAAACTAAATATTTTGTTACCAAGCTATTTAATTTTAAACTAAATATGAAGCTAGCTCAGAGCTAAATGGTTAGTTTTGGGCTGAACATTTAGCTTGCTAAGTAACTGACATTTATAAATGAATATATAACATGATGAAAACATGCTGGTAATATTTGACTCTAAAAATGGACCCCAAAGTTTTTTCTCTCTGTGTCACAATGAGGAAAAGAATCAGTAGCATGAGAGCTTTCTACCGCAGCGAGAAAGTCCGAAAATACTCAACGAGGAAAATACAGAGTAGATAACAGAGACCTTCATTTCAACTTGTGCAATTCAAAATGAAAAGCAGCTCAAAAAGCCTGAACAAATCCACTCAGTTTCTGAGAGCTGAGCTGCAAGCATCACCAGGACCCACTGTAAAAAATGTGTCATAAATAAACAAGGAGTGATATAAAACAGTCTTTGTGTACCTAACTTAAAAATGTCAAAATAATTCATAAATAAGCATCGCAAGAAAAACCTGTGAAAGAAAAACAGCTGGAATCAAAAGTCACAAACACGAAACCTTTTCTTGTTATTAGTTCCCTGGAACCGCCGAGCCAACAGTGTCTCAGAGCTACTGTGTAAAAAAAACTCCATACATGATTTATTTGGTTGTTATTCTCACAAAATTCTATATGGATTAACTAGATACGCTTTTTTCTAGAAAACGTCCAAATCAAACGTTTATTTTTGTTGAATTTTTGATGGAAGAACAAAAAAAGTGAATCTGTGAAACCGATTACTTCGACTCCACAGCAGGAATGAATTCTTATAAAAAACATAATACAGAAGAAAAACATACAACCATTATTAAATCCCGTAAATAATAAATAGTCAATAAATTATTAATAAATAACAGTGAACTAATGGAAAGATTCCAGTTCAGCGTCAGCAGCATTTCTGCCGGTCAGTCCTGCAGGAAGTCGCACCCAGAAGACGGGGAGCGCATCCTGCGTCTCTTCTACGACCCAGATAGCCGGGAGGCCCAACAGAACCCGGCTAGAACCAGGTCAGAAACCGGCTAGAACGGGCCAGAACCGGACCGGGCCCGGCCGGGGTGGGGGACAGAGTCCAGTGAGGGAAGAGGAGGCCCCTCCCTCATCCAGGGCGTTGTTGCTGCCTCTGCATGGCTCCTACGGGCGAGCCGGGGGCGGGGCTAGGTGACGGGGGCGGGGCTAGGTGCCGGGGGGTTGAGGCTGGTGGGCCATGCAGCTACGCGGGTCGCACGGCGAGAGAAGGCTGCGACTGCTGGACAAGACCGCTTGGTATTCCAGAAATTTACGACTGAAAAAAAACAAACAAACAAGAAAAACTTCTAGTGAGCAAAAAACGGATAAAAACAGCAAAATGTGACACATATTTACAAAAGGAGGAAAATTGAAACATTTAGGGAAAAAGAGTTTAGCTTTCCTGTAAAGAGTTAGTTTGCTTGCAGAAAACAAAATTACTGGCAGCAGCTGGGTTTGCTGAGCAAAACGAAAATCAGAGTCTGACTGTGCAACGTCTGCAGATTATTCACAAAAATCTGCACAAAATGCTGAAAATAAACCAAACCTGAAGCATAAAGACAGAACCTCAGAGAAGCATTCAGACCCCGGAGACATGAAGACAAATTCATACAAGGTTTGCTGTTTACTTTGGAAATGAAAATCTAAAGAAAGTATTCAAGCTGTTTAACTTCGGCTGACCTCTATAGCTCTCCTAGGGTCAAAGTTGACCTTCCAGCAGGATGACCTTAGAAAGCACACGCCCAAAATGACCATTTAAAATCTGGTTCTCCAAAGTTTTGACTCAGAGCAACTTAATGCAGATTCAGAACAAACTACAGTTTGTTTCTGTTCTAAAACAATAAAGGTGATTTAGAACCAATGTATAATTTTTGTAATTTGCTGTCCGTTGTCCTTCGTTTTGTAACTAAACAGGAAGCAGCACAATATAGAGAACACTACAAAAAGAGAGATTCAACCGGCTCCGTCTTCGCTGGAGGAAAACATTTTGGTTTTTATCGAATTCTCAGGAAGTCTGTCTGGTTTTTGTATCTGCAGAGGCGACATGAATGTGGAGCACTGATCAGGAGGTAACTATTAAAAAACTGTCAAATGGCTAAAAATTCCTGGAAATTGCAACGCTGTTGTTCTCGGAAGAGACGGTCTGCAGACTGTCTCTTTGTAACAAAACAAAAGATGCAGGAAAGGAGTGATTGCGTCTAAACATGGGTTAATATTTAAAATGTAATAAATGTGAAAAAGAATGCTAATGTCTTCATTTGTCTTTCTTCCTTGCAAACAGACTGGAGTAGATGATGAGGATCAGAAATTAGTGTAATTCATGAATAATTGTTTTGAAAATCAAAACTCAGAATCGAGTGGTGAATGGAAGAGCCAAAGGTTCCCATCACTGTTTTAAACATCACAAATGAGTAAATTTAGTTTCTGGACAAATGTAGACTGTTGAGTCCAAACTCCAAGTGAAAAAGTAAGCATTTAAAGAGAAGTGCCATGCAAAATTACACATGCAAAGAGAGAAAATCTTCAACCCTGGAATGAAAGGTGTTTTATTCATAACGTGGCAGAAGTGTGACTACAGAGAACATGCAGGACCAATTGTCTGGATGCAGAGGTGTGAAGAGGTCAGCAGGTTCTCTAGCTGGTTACCTGCGGGCCAACGAGGCTCTCCCTCGCCTTAGTTGTGGGGAGAATGTCGATACTGAGGCAGAAGGCTGCTGACAATCTACAAAAAACTGATAAATTAGACAAATATATAGAGTGGTGACACTTGAGGTTAGAGAACAAAATCAAAACAGGAGGATTAGTTCACATTCAAACATTTATGAAACAACTGCTGCTTGAATAAAAGCATCAGCATGAACTGGAACCAGTTACTGGCACACAAACAACTGATTCTGCTTTGGAACGAAACACATGAAGAAGACACAGTCCAACGCTGCCATCTAGTGGTGGAGATTTATTACTCTGGATCAGAATAGACAGGAGTCCTCAAAACAGCAGATGAGCCATGAAACACATGGTAATTATAATTAATATAATTTATGTTGATGTGAGATAAATTGTATCTGTTGTTAGTTCCTAAATATTCCACAAGGAGGTGCTGTGAGTCACAAAACATAAACTGCTTCTGCAGCCGTTTCTGGTTCCTGGTTGTCATGTTTTGAAATATTTAGTATGAAAATAGAGAACAACACTTTAAGCTGAAAATACTGACATGTGGAAAATACTGATGGTTAAGATGAGAAACTTCTTCATACCATATGAACTTCCTCATATTTGTCCCATTACAATAAAGTATAAACTGTGAAGTTGAAAGAAACGCGTCATGGTTTGAAATCTTTTCTTTCCTGAGTTGATACTTTGTAGAATCACATTTTTGCTGCAAGTCTGATGTTCTAACTTAGCCTAACAATAAGGAGGCAAGATGGCCTTCCTGATGATTCCTTTAAAAAACATCTAGTCACTAATCCAGAAATCACAGGTAACATCTTTTTAGCATTTTTGCAAACTTTTTTTGATGCCACTTAGCTTCCGATGAATACATTCTTCCAGATGGATTCTGAGGTGCTAAATTACTTGGATGTTTTGTAAAGTTTTGTAAAGCGCAGCTAACTTTGTGGCTGGCGGAGCTCACCACTGAGGTTCGGCTTTACCTCTCTGTTCAGAGAGGCAATCATAACAGAACTGACCCTCAGCTGCAAATCAGAGTCTTTAATTTCATCCCCTGTGGGGTGAAATTGAACACATGACTTACTTTGGGTGGGCTGCTTTTTATCTTGGGCACTTTGGCGCCGCGGCCGCGGTGAATCTGCTCGTGGTCGAACTCCAGGTCCTCCAGCCGCTGCGTCAGGGCCAGTTTCTGCTGGATCGCCATCCTGAGGAGGGAGTTGAGCGTCTTCTTCTCGTCCTCTGCTGCAGCCAGCTGCCTCTGCATCTCGTCCAGCTGGGTGACATACTCATCACACCTGCAGACAGACAGAAGGTGAGGAGGTTTGGTCCCAGTTTGGTCCCAGTTTGGTCCCAGCAGGCCAGGGGAAGACATTCCTCTGCTGGAGTTCCTCACCTCGTGGCGAACATGGCTCTGAGAGAGGAGAAGGTGGCAGCGTCTTCCTTCAGAGCTTTCAGTTCGTTCCTCAGCTTCATCATGGTCTCTGTCACCACTGACTTTTCATTCTCATATTTGCTCTTCAGGTTAGCCAAGGCATTTTCTGCTGTCTGCAAGAACGAATATTTAACTATAAATTTCACTGAAGAATTTGTTGAACTCAGTGATTCTAACTTGCAAACAGTCGGCTGTGCAAACGGCTGGGTGGACGAAGAATAACCTCCGCCTTCGAGGTGCAACTCCTCCTTAGAGCTGCGGGTTCTGAGCTTCTGCCTCACAGAGCAGCTTTGCTTCATGCAGCTCCTTCAGAGTAGCCAGCAGCAATTAGCAAACACATGATTACTCATTAAAGGAACTACTTCTCAGTGAAATACTGGTAAAAATGTTGTTAAAGGGTTAACCCTCCTGTTGTCCCTCGGCTCATGTCGACCGAGGACAAGCCCTTAAAAAATATGTTTCAATTGCAGCTGCATACAGAAACTTTAATCTAACAGTCCTGCATCAGAACTACGGTGTGCACAACTCAGGGGGAAGTTTAGGCTCAAGCAATTCAAATGTAAACTTTACAAAAGAAATAAATAACCAAACCCAGGCCTCAGGTCAGACTGACCGGAAGACTAAGGAAATTACAGCTGGACAGGCAAACAGTATGGAATGGCATCATGATCTCCGTAAAACTGATATCTTTTCAAATTTCCCCCCCCTCCTGTTGCCCTCGGGTTGACATGACCCGAGGACAAGCCCTTATAAAACATTTTTTTAATTGCAACTGCATACAGAAACTTGAAATCTAACAGTCCTGAATCAGACCTACAGTGTTCACAACTCAGATGAATTTTCTGCTGGAGCAAATGTGAACTTGACGAAAAAAATAAGAATAACCTCCTGTTGTCTTCGGGTCAAAATGATCCGAAGACAAGAGGAGGGTTTTAATAGAGGAGCCATGTTGGGATGACTTCCTGAAGGCGGAGTTTCAGGAAGAGCAGGAGTTTTTAAAGAGACAAAGACCCAACTTCAAGTCCAATTTTTAAAAGTTATATTTCATATGAAAATCAATTTTACAACAACTGAAGGTAATTATGCTATAAAATGGAACTATGTGCCTGAAAACACGTCATCTGGAACAAACTTCCAGAAAACAGCAGAACAGCTGAAACACTGAGTTTGTTTTGATCTAAATCCCACATGTTGCTTTCGAACCATAATAAATGTTGATCAACATAATTGATGTTTATTGATGATTTTAACAGTGATTTGTTCACCATCTGTTTCTGTTGTTTTGTTGATTGTTGACTCTCTGATGTTTTCAGCACTTTGCATGTTGCAGAAATGTGCTTTGATTGACAATAAACCACTTTAAAAACGTCTGTTTAACAGCTTTTGATCAAAACTGCTTCGCTTTAATAACTGAAGGATTTGACCTGTTTATTGGCCTTGAGGACGAGCCGCAGCGTGGCGATCTGCTCCCTCTTGGTGCTGAGCAGCGACTTGAGCTTCAGGATTTCCTCCATGCATGACTCCTTGTCCTTGTCCAGCATGGTGGCCATCTCCCTGGCTGCAGCTCTCTGCCGGGACAGCTGCAGCGAGCGGTCCACGGCCCGCTGCAGATGCTTGATCTGGTCTCGGATGATGGCGTTCAGGTTGTAGATGTTCATCGGCTCCCTCCGCAGGTCGCCGCCCGCATCCGACGGCACCGGAGACGGGCAGCGGGATATGCTGATGGAGGGCGAGCCGCTGATGTTGTGGATGGGGCTGCTGTGGCAGGACGACGAGTCCGCCACGTTGCCCGCCGCGTTGCTGTGGTGGGCGTCTCTGGACGGCGAGTCCATTGGGCTGCGCGGGGAGTCGGACGAGCAGGCCGCGGACGCGGCGGCGAGGCGGCGCGCCAGGCGGGGACAGGAGCGCCCGCGGATCCTCGGGGCCCTTCAGGCTGCCGCTGCGGGTGATGCGACTCTGCCGGTAGTAATCCAGCATGACGCGGTTGGGCGTCTCGTTGTTGCAGAGGCAGACGTGGTGGTAGAGCTGCGCCAGCTCCTCGCTGAAGGTCACCAGCTCGTCCTGCGCTGCGTTCAGCATGCTCTGGCTCTCCGTCGCCGTGTTTGATGCGGCGCGCAGCTCGGCCTCCAGCCCGGCCACGCGCTCCCGGCTGTCCCGGTAGCTCCGCTCCAAATGGGAAACCTGCGTTTCATTAAGAAACCTGTGAGATGATGGGGAACTTCTTCTGGTGATTATTTATATGCATCACATTAAAATACAATCAGATTTAGGATTCAATTAGGACGTTTACTTTGTAAAACTTTAAAGAATCATCTTGATCATCACATTACAATACAATATGTGTTATGTAACATATGTGTTATGTTGTAATGTGATGTGTTACATCACATTAAAATATGATGTAATGTTTGTGTTTAAAAATTGGGTTTGTTCACAAATACATCACAGCAAATAACCAATAATCAATGAATGATTTTAAACTCAGCCAATAAACCTGATCTTCCTCTGACAGATTCACCTTATCAATATTTAAATAAGGTTGGGGAGGGGGGGGTCTGTCTAAGGCGCCATATTATCTAGAGCTGGCCCTGCAAGAACGGCCTTTTTGGAATCTACCTGAATCTACCTGGAATCTAACCCCGGTGGCCCTGTGTCAGTCCCCCTGATGCTTTTGATTCATTTAATTGTGGCATGTTTGGCTTTATGCTGCGGTTCTAATTATGGCTGCAGTATTTTTTCCTGTTTATTTTCTTCAGGCAGCAGAACCAGCTCCGGCAGAAGTGGAGATTATTTGATCAGATTTGAGAAGTCAGTGTGAGTCTGAGGAAGCGAACCTGCTCAGTCAGCGCCTGGACCCGGTCGTCGTTGTGGCAGTCTCCCTGGCCCTCCACCGCCTGGTTGTACTTCTCCTTTAAGACTTTGAGCTCGGCCTTCAGGTCGATCACCTCCGTCACCGCCACCTTGTACTTACACTCCAGGATCTCAAACCCGTGGATGTCTGGGTCGAGGCGGCCGTTGGACGACGGCGACGGGGAGCCGCCGTCGGGCTTCTCGCTCTCCTGCGGGTCGTCCAGCTCCTTGTCGGCGTTCAGGTGTTTGAGGGCGTTGACGTGTTCGGTGAGGCGATGGACGCGCTCGTTCTGCTCGGTCAGGGCGCCCTGCGTGTGCTGCAGCTGGGTCTGCGACTCCTGCAGGGTCATCAGCAGACCCGCCTTCTCACGCTCCACCTGCAGGACGGAGGTGCAGAAGGAAAAGTTAGAACTTCTGAAATGCTAAAAATGTGTAACAATAAATAATTTGTTGTTCAATCTGAAATATTGACTGCAGTTCTTTGTTTTTACCTTTTTATTTCCTTTGTTTGTCACAGCTACACTTGTCTTGTTAAATGAATTACTTCCTTACTGTTGTGCTGTTTATTTGCACAGAGGCAAAGTACAGCATTTCATCATTTTTAAGATGTCTGGTTATAGCAAAAGATGCTGATCTGCAGCTGCAGTTACTGGACAGGTGGACGTGAGACGGCGTGATGGAGCCGTGGCAGACAACAGAAGGAGGAAATTTACCACACAAAACACTGACATTTTTAGATACAATTCAGAAATTATCTAGAAAAATTTGGAAATTTCTCGGTTCAAAAAGTCAAAAATGTGCAAGAATAATTTCAAAAATTTCCAGATTAATCTCAGAAATTTTCTAGACAAAACATGAACAGTTCTGAGCTAAAAATGTCATAAAATTTTCACATTTGAATTTCCCAAAGTTGAAAATTATCTATCTACACCTTTTCCAGAAAATCCCTAAAATTGATCTCAAAATTTCTTCAAGCAAAAACTGAAAATCGATTTATTCACTGCAGGTTTATGTCTGTTTGGTTTAGTTTGAAAATAGACACAATCAAAACTGTCAATGATTCATTGCCCTGTGATATTAACAATCCAAATCGTTTGGATGGATTGTTTTCTCTTTCCATTGGAAAGTCTCTGTTTAAATCACAGGTTTGTGATGCATTTCCATCTTGAAGAAAAAGACAAAACTTCAGTTATTTCACAACAAGATATTAAGATACATGGAAAAAACCTCATGAAGATCTTATATAACAGCAGGAAGAACAATGGCCATTAGAAGAAAGGCTTATTCAATTATAAACGCAAAGGAAGAAGAAAATTCTGTACAATCTCAAAATTAGTTTGTTTTCTAGCAAATATTTTGCTTTTGGAGATCAAAAATTTCCTTGTTTTTTTTTATTTCTAAATTAATTTCCAAATCTCTGAGTTTTTCTCACAGTTTTACTCGTCTTTTTTGTCCTGAAGTCCTAATAAGCCGTTATGTTGATGTAATAAAGTATGATTGATCAGATTATGAATCGGTGAAAAGCCAGATTAGTTATTCTATCAGCTTGTTGTCTGGACTATAATGTTGTAAATGATGGACTCATGTCTCCCTCTGGTCTGCCTCAGCAGAACTCCATCATTGAAAGTCACATGACTCACCTGCAGCAGCTGCTGCTTCAGCTTCTGCATCTCGGACAGGTTGAGCTCACTGAACAGGTCCGGCACCAGGCCGTCCGCCTTCCTGCCGGCGCGGTAGTCCCCGCCGGCCTTGGCCAGGACGGGGCCGTGGTGCAGGTGGCCGTTGCAGCGGTTGCTGTCCTCCATGTTGCCGTTGGCAGCAGGGATGGCGCCGCCGTTGGGAACGTTGCCGCTGCCGGTCTCCTCGGTGAACTTGAGGCCCTCGACGCCGGTGACGGTGAGCGCCAGGTGGGCCCCGGCCCCGTACACGCTGTCGCTCAGGCTGATGTGGTGGGCCAGCTCCTTCCTCAGGTTGTTCTTCTGCTCGCGCTCCGTCTTCAGGGCGTCCAGCGCTTCCTCCAGCTGGCCCTCAGAGATGTCCTTCAGACGCAGCGCGTCCTCCAGCTGGCTGTTCAGGAGAACCGTCTCCTCCTCCAGGACTTTGATTTCGTGTTTCAGCCCCTCATACTCCACCTGCAGCGCAGCAGGAAGGACAGCAGTCACTCAACTGGACCCACTGGTGGGTTCCCAGTCACTCAACTGGACCCACTGGTGGGTTCCCAGTCACTCAACTGGACCCAATGGTGGGTTCCCAGTCACTCAACTGGACCCAATGGTGGGTTCCCAGTCACTCAACTGGACCCACTGGTGTTCCCAGTCACTGGACCTACTGGTGGGTTCCCAGTCACTCTGACCAGAAGTTAGTTTTCTACCTTTTTGTTAAAATTTCACATGTTCTAGAATAAAAAACTTTAAAAATTTTGCAAAAACTTAATTACTCAAAATCCTAATGAATTTAAAGAAATGGATGAACAGATGGATGAACAGATGATGGATGGATGGATGAAAGATGGATGAAAGATGGATGAATGGATGATGGATGATGGATGAACAGATGGATGGGATGAACAGATGGATGAACAGATGGATGAGATGGATGATGAACAGATGGATGAATGGATGGATGGATGAACAGATGAATGGATGGATGAACAGATGGATGGATGGATGAACAGATGGATGAACAGATGAATGGATGGATGAACAGATGGATGAATGGATGGATGGATGAACAGATGGATGAACAGATGGATGGATGAACAGATGGATGAACAGATGAATGGATGGATGAACAGATGAATGGATGGATGAATGGATGGATGGATGAACAGATGAATGGATGAACAGATGGATGGATGGATGAACAGATGGATGGATGGATGAACAGATGGATGAACAGATGGATGAACAGATGGATGAACAGATGATGAATGGATGGATGGATGAACAGATGGTGAACAGATGGATGAATGGATGGATGAACAGTTGGATGGATGGATGGATGGATGAACAGATGGATGGATGGATGAACAGATGGATGAATGGATGGATGGATGAACAGATGGATGGATGGATGAACAGATGGATGAATGGATGGATGGATGAACAGATGGATGGATGGATGGATGGATGACAGATGGATGAATGGATGGATGGATGAACAGATGGATGAATGGATGGATGGATGAACAGATGGATGAACAGATGGATGGATGAACAGATGGATGAACAGATGGATGAATGGATGGATGGATGAAAAGATGGATGAACAGATGGATGGATGATCAGATGGATGAACAGATGATGGATGAACAGATGGATGAACAGATGGATGGATGGATGATGGACGGACAGATGGATGAACAGATGGATGGATGAACAGATGGATGAACAGATTGATGGAGAACAGATGGATGAACGGATGGATGAATGGATGGATGGATGGATGAAAGATGGATGGATGAAAGATGGATGAAAGATGGATGAAAGATGGATGGATGAACAGATGGATGAACTGATGGATGATGGATGGATGAACAGATGGATGAATGGATGGATGGATGAACAGATGAATGGATGGATGAACAGATGAATGGATGGATGAACAGATGGATGGATGGATGAACAGATGGATGAATGGATGGATGGATGAACAGATGGATGGATGGATGGATGGATGGATGGATGAACAGATGGATGAATGGATGGATGGATGAACAGATGGATGAACAGATGGATGGATGAACAGATGGATGAACAGATGGATGAATGATGGATGGATGAACAGATGATGGATGATGGAGATGAACAGATGGATGAACAGATGGATGAATGGATGGATGAACATGGATGAATGGATGGATGGATGAACAGATGGATGGATGGATGAACAGATGGATGGATGGATGGATGGATGAACAGATGGATGGATGGATGAACTGATGGATGAATGGATGGATGGATGAACAGATGGATGGATGGATGGATGGATGAACAGTTGGATGGATGGATGGATGGATGAACAGATGGATGGATGGATGGATGGATGAACTGATGGATGAACAGATGGATGGATGAACAGATGGATGAACAGTTGGATGGATGGATGAACAGATGGATGAACAGATGGATGAATGGATGGATGGATGAACAGATGGATGAACAGATGGATGGATGAACAGATGGATGAACAGATGGATGAATGGATGGATGGATGAACAGATGGATGGATGGATGAACAGATGGATGAATGGATGGATGGATGAACAGATGGATGGATGGATGAACAGATGGATGAATGGATGAACAGATGGATGAACAGATGGATGGATGGATGAACATGGATGAACAGATGGATGAATGGATGGATGGATGAACAGATGGATGGATGGATGGATGGATGAACAGATGGATGGATGAACAGATGGATGGATGGATGAACAGATGGATGAACAGAATTTTCCAGCCTGAACAGAAACTTTGAGGAACCAGAGTTTCTCTAAGTTTGTGCTTTTATTATGAAATCCGAATGAATTGTGTTTCCTGTTGAATTAACGCAGACCTCCGGTCTTACATAAAACATGCATGAGACAGAAAGGATGTGATCAGGTGGAGGATCAGCAGAGTGAGACCAGAGTAACTAAGACAAAGCAGCAGCTTCTTCTCCAAACTGATGACCGGTCGGCCAGGATCACGTTTCCTCGTGGCGGGTAAAGTGAGAACGCATACATGTCATGAGTGGGTGAAAAGTAACACCGTAATGACGTGCAAACTCTAACCCAATAGGAGAACAAAGTGTTGATGATCATCTTTGTGACCTGGCTCTGCTTGAGCGTGGAGACCAGCTTCTGCAGGGTGATGTTCTCCTCCTCCAGCTCGCTGTAATCCTGGAGGAGACGCGTCTCCCTGAACTTATACTCCTTGATCTCCTCCCTCATCCTGCTGCGCTGCAGGTCCAGCATCTCGTTGCTCTGCAGGAGCACCAGAACCAGAACCGGAACCGGAACCAGAACCAGAACCAGAACCGGAACGAGAGAGGAAGGCAGAGACAGAGGAGGGACAGAAGAGACAGTTTAATAGTCAAGACCTGATTAAGAACCTGACTGAAGTTCAAATCTTACAAAATTGGTGCCATTGATGCACAAAGTAATTTTTTTTACTACACAAACATTTGAACCAATTTTGTTAGATTTGGGTATTATGGAAGAGCTGGCTGACCTTTTAACCTTTTAACCTTTATTATCTTCAAAGCAAAAGCAGCACAAACAAAAATATCACTGCAGAAACATTTGACAGCAGCTGCGTCTGATTTGAAGACGTTTGGGGGTCAAAGTTCACTCTGGTTCAGTAAAAGAATGAAGGAAAACAAACTTTCCAAAAAAACTACATTTCCAGCCTTATTGTTAGGGCTAACCCTAACCCTAACCCCTAACCCCTAACCCTAACCCCATATTTTATCACAATATTTTTCCGCACTGTTGAGATAACAATAAAAACCCAACCCTACTTGTTGTACATGTTGATATCAGTAAATCAAAAGCACGTTGACTAAACACTCATCTGTAGATAAACAATTAAAGCTGAAGGCAGCAAATTCATTTTACTGAAATATTGCTGAACATGTATTCTAACATGCAACTTTTGATGGATTTTATGTAAAGAAAAGCAAAAAAGAAAGAACTTCTTCAGAATATGTGAGCTTCAGGTTTTGCTGCAGAGCTGCCTGCAGCTGCCCTGCAGCCCTCTGTGCATAAAGTCAGGCAGAAATGCTGATCCACAGTCAGAGTGAGGGGCCTGAACACATTTATAGTGCAGAGACGTGATTAGAAAATCCATAATGTATCTACAGTAAAAACCAGAAGTTTACATACACCAAACCAAACATGTTCAAGTCAAACTTGTCCTTTTTCAGGGCAGTTCGAAACAACCAAAATATTTATATTTAATAAATACCAAAACATTGAACTGGTTGAGCTGAAGCTCCTTTCTAACCTGCACATTGAGGCTCATCGTCCGTCTGCAGTTTGTCTTCCTGGTTGATGTATTTAGATGTTTCTTGAATATTTCTACAGAATGTTTTTTCCTCATAATGCCGCCTGTTTTAAGAAGTGGACCAGTTTGAGAAACAGCCCCTCAGCATGATGCTTCCACTGAGCAGAGCATCTTTTTCATCTGCAGTGATAAAGTTGATGAAGTGCAGCTTCACATGATGTGCGCTGACAGTCGTCTGCTGCTGCAGTTTAATTTAAATGGATTCACTGAATGAGGGGAAATCTGTGTGGAGGGAACTGCAGTGGTTGTTGGCAGCAGCAGTTCTGATCCATTGAGTGAATGAGTGAGGTGTATTTAATGGGAGCGTCCCAGTTGGCCCAGTCGTTGCACAGTGCCGAGCTCAGGGCATTTCACTGATTCCCAGCTTAGCGCCGGATTTGTCCCCCACAATGGAGTGGTTGCCGTGGCGTCTGACCCCTGCTCGAACTCCTGACCCCCCACGCTGCGCCTGCAGCCATGTTGGCGTTTGGAGGGACGAGCATGCATCACGTTTCCTCTGTGACAAAGGTTGGAACGTTTGTCCGCATGACCTCTTGACCTTTGGCAACGTTTTGGCCCAATTGGTTTAACAAAGATCTCATGAATATGTAAAATATAAAATCAGAAGGAAAAGCAGATATTTATTTGATTTCCTTTGCAGATCTATTAAAATAAAAAATAAAAAAATATCTAAATATACAATTTGTTTGAAGAAATGTCAGAATTTAAATTCATGATGTAAAAATTAAAAAAGGGATATTTAACTCTTTTTAGAGAGAATATTTTCATTATATAAAATGAAAATATTCATTTTATTTAGCAAATGAAATTACCAAATGCAGTTAGCCCATATTTTTCTCTTATGATGGACTAAATAATCCAAATTATTGTTGTTAATGTTTGTTTAACTGATGGTGTGTGGTGAAAACTGTCCACTTCCATATCTGCGCCTGACTGAGGCAGACAGCCTGAACCTGCCGAAGCTCTGAACCTTCACCAAACTGCGCTAAACGTTTGCTCAGTAGAAATATTCATTTGTGCCGCTATCATTTTAAAAATATCAGTAAATGTTTCCAGAGGTCATGAAAGGTCAACCAGTTACCTCACAAAATGAAAATAAATGTGCCGTTAGTCAGGCTCACCTCTCGCAGCTCCTGCAGAAGCGCGTTGAGCCTCTCGCTCTCCGCCTGAGCGTTGGACGCCACCGAGCGGCTCAGCGTCACCTCCGTCTGCAGCTCCAGCAGCCGGCCCATGTAATACGCCTCCTTGGAGGCTGACTCCTGCAGCAGCGTCTCCTCAATGGTCTCTCCATCCTCTGCCACCTTGCGCTGGTTGGTGTAGGCCTGACCGAACGCCTGGAGAGACAGAAACCACGTGATGGATCTGCGGCTCCGCCTGGCCGCCAGGTGAAACCACGGCCGTCGCCAACATGGTCGACCTGTTGGGCCGTCCATGGCGGCTGATGTTTCACTGATCAATAGATACACTGTTCCCATTTTCCTGACACAGGTTTTCACATCACGGGAAGCTGACTGAAGGCGCCGAGGCTTGATTGAGGAAACCAAAGCAGGCACCAACAGAACAAACGCTGCCAACCGTGGAGGCGCCGCTTCGTCACTAAAAAGAACGGAGCTGAAAACGCTCCACCGTCAAAACGTCCCACATAAACGCCGAGGCGAAAGGATCGAGAGGGAAGGAGAGAAAGCTCAACTTAATCCATCATGTTCATTAACTGATCTCAAAAATGATCAATGCAGCAGCAGCAGTTTGAAAACCTTCCAAACAAACAAAATAGTTTTAATTAATTTTTAACATTTTAATTCATGAATGTTTGTTTTCTCTGTATCTGCAGGAGGTGACAAGCAATAAATTCACCAATAGCCTTAAACATTAAACCTTTACAGAAATAGTGTAAATAGTTTTGAGATAAATGAAGAAAATTAAATAAGGTACTTACTATTGTATATAAAAAACATTTTAGTGAATGAAAGTTAAAAATGTGAAGTCTTTAGTAGGATATATTTATTCTAAAAAACAAAAATGTATTTCCATCAAAACCAATCATTCAATCTTTCTTAAAATTAAAGAATCAAAATAAATAAATGATTTTCTCAGCATTTCCACAATAAATTAATGTTCTTTAACCCAAACACATAATAAAGAAAAACTGATTAAATGATCCAGATCAGCATCAGAGGAAAAATACAAACAAACAGCTTTTATGTGCAAAAAATACCAAAACTGAAACATAATAAATAAAGTTTGAGGTTCTGCTTTTTATCCTCCTTTATTCTAAGAATGTTTTCTGGCTGCAGTCGAGTTTCATGAGTATAAAATGGATTTCTCTGTGAAGCAGCAGCAGCTGAGCAGCAGCAGCAGCACTCTGACCCCTCCCTGTTCTCAGCGCCTCAGCAGAACCGGGCCGTGGAGCCGCTGGCCTCGATCAATCGATGCGGCTTCGTCTGGAGTTTTTTATGCTCCAAATGAACACATGATGTGAAACTGTAAACAATTCAAGGTCAGAAATACTGGAAGGCTTTAGGGTGCAGATTCTGACTAATAAGGCAGCCTGCATAATAAACAGAGAAAACTGTATCAAGGAGATTATAACTGAACCCCTCCTTCCAATAAACATCCTCTTCTCTGGTCATTATGAATCATTTATGAGATATGAGTTTCCATTATTTTCCATTAGACATGAAACCACTGTCATATTTTTTCCTTCCATATCGGATCAGTTTTCTGTTTCACTTTTGTTCAAGAATCTGAATTATTCATGTTGGAGAATATTTTTCTCCTATTCAGTGAATGTTTAGTCACTAAAGTGATTACAAATAATTTCTCCTCACTGTTGGAAAATGAATGGATGGCTTTGCAGGTGTCATGATGTCAGACAGGATCTGTTGAGGAATTTCTCTGTTTAACTTTATGATCTCTGACTGATCAGAGAAACAGAAAGCAGCTCACAAAAACTGCTTTGACTATTCACTCACATCATCTCAGCCTGATATCAGAAGTTTTTGATGATATAAAACATTTAAGTGTGAGATAAAAAAGCAAAACCTGGAGAAATCTCTAAATATTACACTGCAGCAGACCACTAGGGGGCTCCACTCACAGGCACAGGACAGGATGTTTGCATGGAAGTTTATAAAACAGTCAAGTAAATTAGAGCTTTAGAATTTATCTGGAAAATTAATTTAGAGGAAGAAAAATGTGATAAACAGTTTTCAATTTTGCTAAAATGCTAACGTAAGTGATTAGCCGAAGTTTGTCCCCAACTGAGCAGCTGCATATAAACACCCTAAAACTCTGGATCAGGACTTTTGTCCAGGTTTAGAGCAAAGACTGATGCAGACAGAGGCGGACGTCTCCACAGGACATTTAACTTCAACAGAACATTTTGTTTTGCCCTTGAAACACAAAGTGAGAGTTAGCGTATGAAATAATATGAGCAATAATCAGTCAACTGAAACAAATGCAAACACAGAACATTCAAGCCTTCAGGCATAAACAACCTGCACGTCCACTTTAATGAGGAAAAACCAGTGATGCGCAAAAATGTAAACAAAACAAACAACAGCTTGATTATTATTATTATCATCGTTGTTATTATTATTATTATTATTATTATTATTATTATTATTATTATTATCATTATTATTATTATTATTATTATCATTATTATTATTATCATCATTATTATTATCATTATCATTATTATAATTATCATCATTATCATCATTATCATTATTATTATCATCATTATTATTATTATTATTATTATTATTATTATCATTTTTATCACTATTATTATTATTATTATTATTATTATTATTATTATTATTATTATTATTATTATTATCATCATTATTATTATCATTATTATCACTATTATTATCATTATTATTATTATCATTATCATCATTATTATTATTATTATTGTCATTATTATTATTATCATTATTATTCTCAGTATTATTATTATTATTATTATTATTATTATTATCATTATTATTATTATCATTATTACATCATTATTATGATCATTATTATTATCATCATTATCATTATTATTGTTCTCCAGTTTTTTTTCCTCTTGTCCTTCAGATTGTCTCGCCCTTCGCTCTCCAGAGAGCAGCACTGTGATTGCAGTGAAGGACTTGATTAAGAAAGGAGCAGCGTGTGAACAATTAGAAAAGCTCTGCTGATTAATTCAAAGCGGGGAAACGGAACGAGCCGGACTCCCACATCGGACCAGAACAAAACAGAACAACAGCAGGAGGGACACGAGAAATCTGGCAGAAGAGGAAGGAAAGGACGTCTCAGGACGAGTTGTGGGAGTTTCTGCCTTGACTGCTGCTTCCAAACAAATATAGTAGCACTGAAGCAAAAGTAATGAGTGAAAGTTTTTTTTCCACAGTTTTTGATTCAAATTTTGTAAATCTTGCTCTGAACTCAAAGGCTGGAAATGCAGAGCTGGAGCCAGATGGAGACACGGAGAGACAGGATGTCCCAGTTAGAGACAATGAATCATGAGCTGCTCATCCAGGGAGGGCTCCTAACGAGCAGCAGATGGTTTTAGAACAGACACACTTCCTGTGCACTTACAGACAATCACACACAGTGACAGTGATGGACGTGCAGCGCTGCTGACACACCAAGAGCCTCAGGATGTTTCAGCTTCATGCACAACAAACTGATGGAAGTTTGATGGTTAAATCAAACTTTATAATTATTAGCTGAAAGGAATGTTTTGTTTTACTGTTTTACTTTTGGAGAGTTGTGATGAGTAACCGTGACAACAGGGTCAAGCTGATTAGCATTTCAAAAGCTCAAATGGTCAGATAGAGATTTAAAGAGGAGCGGCAAAAACAAAGGAGGTGGATTAGCAGAGCTGGCGTAACACCTGATGGTGACGTTCATAACATGTTACTGTGGACAGTGTCACTGTCTCTATTCCCTGGACATCGAGCTGTTAGCATGTTAGCATGCTAGCACGAGACTGCCATACAGTGATAGTCTTCAGTCAGAAGCCTTTTTAGATTTGTTACAACATTGACTGCTAATGGAGGTCCTTCCTGCCCACAGCATCACCTCCACAACGACTGAATTGATCACAAACGTTACAAAAACACAGCAGGACTTTAGTATTTCCAGGTAGGCATGTGACCCGTATCCAACTTTTTCACTGCAGTTTGAACGACTCAGTTCTGATGTTTTACTCCAAAAAATCCAAATGTCTCTGAATTTGTGCCACTTCCACTTCAGATCCAACTGTTCTGTATGTTTTCCTCTTGATTATTCATATAATTAACTTTTATTCCCATCAAATTAATTCTGCGCTCTCTTTTCCTGCATTTGGATCTTTTTACTTCACAACCAAACATGACAGGAAAAATGTACATTTTAGTCATGCTAACTGTTTACGGCTAACTTAAGATGGTAAAGATCAGAACATATTATTTTGCTCAACTCCAACTCGTCATGTTTGTGAACCTTTTCCTCATGTCTCATGCACACAGTGAGGCATCAAGCAGGAAAAAAAAAGTTTTATTCTTGAATATCTCAATGCCACATCAGAACAGGCAGTTTTACAAACCTGGTAAATACAACTTTACTGGAAACTATTAGAGTTTTTTACATTTTCATAAAACTGATTTAATCTTGGAGTTTCTCATTGAACACCTGTTCAATTCTCCGCAAAGAAAAGCATTTAATATATTCAGTCTTCAGGCTTCTGCCTTTTGCGCTTCAGTGTCCAGACAATAGAATCCCAGACTGTAGATATTCATTCCTGGGGCCAAACCAGGAGGAGGAGGAAGAGGAAGACTGCACCATGTAACAGGAGGAGGAAGAGGAGGAGGAAGAGGAGGAGGAGGGTGCGACCCTGAAATCCCTCCATTGTGTTGCGGCCCATAATGAGGAGTCAGGGGACGGCTTTAGGGTGTGAAATCTGTATTTTCTGGGAGTGAGCGTGCAACAGAAATCTTTTTGCACACGCAGCATTAAGGGGTGGCTTAATCTGTGATGCATACTGGAGCAGGAAGTTTACTTGTTATTAGAAATGTAAAGACAGGAAGGGATTTACAGCAGATTTGATCAGATTTTCATGGTCAGGGTTTAGTGCAGCTGGCTGCAGTTATAGTTTCAGTGCAGGAATGCAGAGACAACCAGCGATTTTCAGTTCAAATGAAGGATTTTACTCTCGCAGTTTAATATTCTCATGAATGATTACTGTAAAATGAAAAATTATAACAAGTATTTTCTGCAAGGAACCCAAACTACAGCAGGAACCGTGGATATTTCCTGAGATCCGTTTTTATGACATGTTTTGTTTGAAGTAAAACAGGAT